ACCTCCAGTAACCCTACTGAAAGAATGTTCTAGTCAAGCCCATGAGAATGCATATTTAGCTGTTAGCAGCCTTACATCTTTCATTTCTGTGAGCACTAACTTTGTGTATAAGAATTTAGAGGCTGCTGAGTCTGGGTTTCCAAGTCCGTGAGGTTTGGGGGCTCATGTTGTCTCAATGCTTTTCCCACTTGAGGGTCCTGGGGTGCTGGGCTTCTCCTCTTCAAGTGCAGCTCTTTGCAGAGACAGACAATACACAGACCCGAGCTAACCCTGGGAGCACAACAGGCTGCCTCTAAGAAACTGCCCCTCTCTATGGTATATTCTAAAGACTGGGCCCAGAGAAAACCATAAACCTTGAAACTCTCTCTGCCCCAGGTTTGTTTGAAATCCATGGAGCAACAGTTGTTCCCATCGTAAGTGTGATAGCCCCGGAGAAGCTGTCAGCCAGCACAAGACGGCGGTATGAAATTCAGGTAACTCTGGGTCAGGCCATCCACCTTGCTGATGTGAGCTACAAAGAAGGGATGTGGTAACAGGTAGGAGGAGGCATGCAATTTCTCCCCTAACCCTTTTATCAGCACGAAGCCTCACTTAGGTGCCAGGATCAGCAGCACCCCCTGTCCTCTTAGAAAGGCATCAGCTAGTATCAGCATGACCACATCCAAACAGAACCTTTCCTCTGGGGCAGCTGGAGTTGGTTTATTTTTGTTCTGACAGAGCACTAGAATTGCAGACACGAAGCCGTGTCTCACAGCATACATATTTTTTGGTGTCTATGCTACCACATCTGATGCTGTACTGTAGGCTGTGTGAAAGTTCAGCCCAGTCCTCAAAGCTTCTGACTTCAGAAGCAAATAGAAGACAGCAAGTGATAGGGTACCAAGCCTACTGTACCGAATTTGGGTGTTAGTGTGCCGTGACCATTTGGGGAAGGGTCTTAGGACCGCATTCACTATTCAGAAGTATAATTAGACTGAATACAGAGATCAAGTTCTTCGTCCTTGTGAGCTCTCCCAGCCATTTCTCCAGAGTTGGTGACACTCATTTCTCCTGTCCCCAACTGCCATCGTTACCCATCACTTTCGTTTCATGTTCCCACTGCTGTTACCTTCTTCTTTCAAAATTCAGCTTAATCCTAAAATCTCTCTGCTTCTACTTATTAGGTATCACTTCAAAATTTAAAAGGACTAGGAGGTTTAACTCAGTGATAAATACTTGCTGGCATGCACAAGGTCCTGGGCTCGATCCTTAGGGAAGCACCTTGCCCCCTGATTAAAAAGAACTAAGTGACACTGGGCAGAGTGGTACATGCCTGTAATGCCAGTGTTTTGGGAAGCTGACACAGGAGGATCATAAATTCAAACCTAGCAGGAGCAACCTATTTCAAAATGAAAAAGAAAGACTAGGAATGTAGCTCAGGGTGAAGGTCTTGGGTTCCATCCCGTGCTGAAAAGGGAGCGGGGGAAAGCACCCTAACGAAGATAAAGAGGCACTCCTAAACAAAGGATCACGGCAGGTGTCGAATCTTTTTTCCCTGAGATCATAGTGGCTAGACACTCCTTTCTGCAACAGACCAAGATCAGATCTTTAGACACTGTTTGGAATTCTTTCTAGGCCTTGGTTTGTCACTCTGATTGTTTTCTAGAACGAGAAATAAGACGACTTGGTTTAACATGTACTGAATTCCATTTTCTTCTCATTAGGTACAAACCCGACTTCAGACTACCCTTGCCAACTTACATCAGAAAAGCAGTGAAATTGAAATTTTGGCTGTAAGTTGCTTTAACATTTTGATGTTGGTGTATCTCACTATCTAAGTGTGCCCGCAAGTTCAGGCTCTTTTGCTCAGCAGTATTTGGATGCCAACCTGGTTACTGCTGAGGCACACATGCCATCTGAACTTGTAAAAAAACGGGCAAGAAATGGATGGAATGGAAGCCCATCACGTTAAGCAAAACAAGGCCAGACTCAGAAAGACAAGCATCGCATGTTTTCCCTAACATATGGAGTCTTAAAAAAGATGATCTGAAGCTGGGCATGGTGGTACACACCTGTAATCCCAGTGCTTGGGAGGCTGGGGGAGGAAGATTCTTGCAGGTTCCAAGGCCAGCCTAAACTGATAGTGAGATTCCATCTCAAAGAAAAAAGATCATATGAAAGTAGAAAAGACACTAGTATTAGAGAATCAGAGGAGATGAATGTAAGGGAAGGTAATAGGGGTAGATACAATCAAAATACTTCCTTGATGTTGTGAAAATAACACTGAAACCCAGTATTTTGTAAACCTGATAGGCACTAAAAACTTTTTTATAAAAAGAACAAGGGAGAAAACTGAAGGGTTGTTTCTTCTCTTGCTTCCTCTGAAAGATGGAGACAGGAAGGGAATGAAAACCAAAATCCTTTTTCTGTGTTTCAGGTCTTTGCCTTGCCAGGCTTACCCTAAGTACATGTAGCTAGCAGGGTCAAACCTTTGGGGTGGACAGATCTGAGCGTAGTTTCCAAGGCCTGTTAGTTCACCAAGGCCAAGCTCACTGCACACTTCATCAAGTCTGCTTTGTAGCACAATAGTATCTCACACTGCCAGCCCCACAGTGACACCACGTGCAAGTCATTATATGCCACTTAAGAGTTCTCTGTATTTTTCTGTGTACTGACAGGTGGATCTACCCAAGGAAACAATCTTACAGTTTTTATCACTAGAGGTAAGCAGTATGAACTGTTCCACACTGTTCCACACTTTGCTGTTAATTTGCCAAAAGAGGATTGAAAAGTGTTACATTTTCTTAGCCATAAAGTCTTGCAGTGCCAAGAATTTAGTAACATTAGCTCCTTTTGTGTGTACTTCTAAATCAAGGTTACCCAGCTAGTTAAGGAGCAGAGCCAGGACTTTAACCTTGCAGAGTAGTACAATGTGTGTTCTTGGCAATACATTATGTTCTTTCTTACATAAACCTTCATCTCAGCTAGGAGAATTCATCTGTAGATTAGAACTATACAGAAATTCCTTTTATTGAAATTTGGGTCCTTTTTTTTTTTGGTATGTCTTTATGAGTACTGTATATATCTTTAGCATCAGATAGCCTAAATAAGAACATTTAAGTTATTGAAGTTCTTTGCTAGGAAGAATATTTAATATTACATTTTATGTTGCTCTCACAAATAAGCATATACTACTACACTTGATTTGCTGATCTGTGATCAAGTGGATACACCTCAGAGGCAACGTTTTCATTTTATATAAAGTGAACAGTAGGCAGAAATAACTCATCTAAAGTCAACAGTATCACACCACGGCTGACAGCTAACCTCTACTTAGGGAACCTGTCTTGATTTAAAGGAAATTAATGCTTCAAAGGAAAAACCCCAATAGCATCCCCACTAGCATGTCTCTCTCTCCCTAAAAAGGACCCTTGTGCTCTACTTGAAGAGAACATCAGCATTTTATTAGTGAGCAGGCATTTTATTAGTAACCAGGCCAGATCGTAACCCCGCTGCCCCGTGAAGTCTTTATCTGTTTTTTCCTAGTGGGATGCTGATGAACAGACATTTAACACAACTGTGAAGCAGCTACTGTCACGCCTGCCGAAGCAAAGATACCTCAAATCAGTGTGCGATGAAATTTATAACATCAAAGTTGAAAAAAAGTAAGCTACCACTTAAGCACAACAGGTTTCCAATGGTCAAAACTGAGGAGCTTCACAGTGACATTTCCTTTACAGTCCTGTTGAGTTCGGACAGCTGAGCAGCTGTCAGAACTGCAGCTGGCCTCCAAGTAAATCTCACCTAGTTTGCAAAGCAGTCTTATCAAATGTGGTGCAGCAGGAACTATCCGTTACAACTCTGTTCACTCAAGTAACTTACTTCTCAGAGTATGCTGAAATGAAATAACTTGGATTGCTTTACTTTATGTCATCTTGTCAAAACATGTCACTTTTAAATCATTCCAATCCAGGGGTCACAAGGAAGCCTCTGAGGCCAGCAGAGGTGTGCTTATTAGGACCTTTCACTGCAGACCCGTGCTAGTCTCAGCTCCTGCAAAACTCATTTTTAGGGTTAGCTGTCCATCTTGTTTCTAATTAAACACAGCTCCTACAGTTAAATTTTCTAGATACTTATTCTGTTCTTCACCCACAATTGAGCCTGTCATAACCTGCCTTTTGCCTTCTTTTGCAGGGTATCTGTGCTGTTCCTGTATAGCTACAAAGATGACTACTATAGAATCTTATTTTAACTCTGAGGAACTGTCACTACTCTGTTCAGTCAGGGCAGTACACCAAATGAATGAGATGTAGAATCACTGTCACTTTAACCCTAAGCAGCTGTCCTGCAAAGCTGGGCTTTGTCAGTTTTTCATGTGTAATATATTATAAATTTATCTTTTTGGATATAATAAATTTTTTCATATATTTGCTGCTTTTTGATTATGAATCTGTAAACACTTTAGTCTTATGGAGCTGGAACACAAAGAAACATACAAAACTATCCTTACTAACAGGCACCAAAAGATCAAAATCATCAGGCATGGTTTCGGTGCACATTGTAACCCCCAGCTGCTAACATGGCTGAGGGAGGAGGATCACAATGGGGCCAGGCTGGGAAATTCAGTAACGCCCTGTCTCAAAATAACAAGTAAAAAAAGCAGGAATATAGCTCAAGTGAGGCTTCAAGGTCAGTTCCCAATATGAGGGAAAAAAAGGGGAGAAGGGCCAAATCACTAACTGGGAATGTTTACTCTTGATGATTTTGTAATATATTTACCTAATGTGGTTAACCAAATACTTACTAAGCTATTAGGAGTCAAGTCAAACTTGCGGAAGAAACTATGATGATACAGCTACACAGCCTGAGGGAAGAATACCATGAAATAACATGACACAACCGTCAGCTTTCAGGTCCAATGACAGTTAAAACCTATCCATTAACCACATTATTCCAAAATTAACAGTTATTACTAGAACTATTAAAATGAGGTGAGAAAAGGAACAAGTAAGAGACAGTGCTGGGAAACAAATATTTAATAAGACATTGTTCTTCAGGGAAACGATTACAGAAGCATTTCGAACTAATCCAGGAATACACAATCATGCAGCACAGATCTAAACTAAACTAGTTTCTGACCATAACTACCTTGTAAACTGTAACCTTTTTCTCTCCAAAATGACCCTGATCTCACATGAAAACAGCTGCCAGGAGGGAAACCAAAAACCTAGCTTTGTAGCCAACAGTAAAAACCAAAAGAAAAATAACAATTTGTTGGTTAACTGGTAAAAGCAGAGAATCCAGTGCCCTTCACTGTGCTGTTTTGGCCTTCTTATTTTTGTTCTTTTTGTCTCTCTTCTTCAGCCCATCCATGTTAGCTCTCAACAGGTTTGAATAAGCCTGAAAAACACAGAGCATGACCTTAGTGGGAAGACAAACTGGTGGGTGAATGAATGCCGTTTCCACAGTGGACTTCAGTAGCCAGAGACAGACGTCTATCCAATGAAGAGCTTAACACCATGGGACACTTATACTGGGACAGCTTCTGCAATGCTCACCCACAATGAAGTGCATTTTATTTTCCAGCAAAAAGGGAAAAGTACAGGCAATTTCTTGTTTGACTATACTACAGGCAGAGCATATCTGAAATCTGAGACAAGAAAATAGCTGGTGAAATTCATAGCCTAGTGGATCTTGTTTTTTTTGTTTGTCTTTTTCCTTTTTATCGGTACCAGGGATACAACTCACGACTGCCTGCTTGCAAGGCAGGCACTTAGGCCGCTGAGCTAAATCCCCAGCCCCAGCCTAGTGATCTTAAAAAATTGATGAAACTTATCACAGGAAGCCAATGAGAACCCGAGCACCCTGTTCTATCACTTTACTGCTACGCTGACTCTAGCCCTATGGCGTTACTCACCATCTGAAACTTATTTACTTCTTTGGAGCTCACCTGGAAAGAGGGAAAACAAGATGTCACTATTTGTTCATGTAAGTATCCTCTGCTCCACCCAGATAGTATCTCAAAAGCCCCATGAACATAGCATTCTAGAAGAGATTTCTTTTTTTTTTTTTTTTTTTTTTTTTTTTTGTGGTGCTAGAGATTGAACCCAGGCCCCTGTGCATCTCATCAAGCACCCTAGTGGTGAGCTACACCACACTTTAATCTTTACAATACTTCCCAACTTTAGAAGTTAGATTAAAGGCTATTCTGCTCCATTTTCCTCTGCCTGAGGAACAAGCCAAGTAGCTCTATGTTTTTCCATATAAGACCTGCACCAACATGTGCAGGCAAACTGGCTTTTCCCCTCTGAAATGCCTTACACAGGTGGCTCTGCCATTTTCCCCTGGCCTCTGAAAGATGTCAGAGGACTTCTCAGAATTTTTGTGCAAAATTCACTGAAACTACTCCTTGCCAATCTGTTGCCTTTCTTTAATCAGTATGAATTAAGTCATACAAACTACCATAAGATGATGCTACCACTGAAGAAGATTCCTACCTACCTCCTCTATTGCATGATACCCAGCTTTATTTTTGAAGCCCACATACGCTTGCTTTATTGTAAAAATTATTTCAAGAGAACTCTGCAGCTGTGGTAGGAGAACCACCACAAATGCCAGGCCAGCCTGGGCTAGCAGTAAGTTCAAGGCCAGTGTGAACTACAAAGCAAGTTCCTCTCTCAAGATAACTTGTAAAGAAAAACTTAGCAACTAAATATTGTCTATATTCTCATGCGTATCCTCCAGTAATTTGAATAGAGGGCAGTATTGTTCTGCCCTGGCAGAATAAGTAAGTATTCACTCAGAATCCAGGGTGTCTTCACTTTGCAAGGCAGATACAGGAGATTTTAAATTCAAGACCAGCTTGGGCGATTTAGCTAAATACTGTCTCAAAATTGGGGATGTAGCTAATATGAAGGCCCTGGATTCAACCCTAAGTAACACACACAGCCCAGGAAATCTTTGTTTGCCACACCGTATTCAAACTCCACCATGATAGGATATAATTAAGACTGATGACTAAATGTATATTGTTGAGGTTTCCCCTACTAAAGTGAAGAAGTGTCCCAGTCCCAAACAGCCTTTCCCAAACAGAAAATACATGTCAACTTTTACCATATTTAAAAAAAAAAAAGGTCTGTTCGGATGTGCCCCATCCTCAGTTCAAGTACTTATAAACTCCAAAATGCTGCATTAAGACCCTAGCTCACAGGACTATTAGTAACTCTGGTAGGCGCTTGTCTAGCAATCTTTGAGGCCCTTGATCAATGCCCAGCAACGGGGAGAGAAAGAGGGTCGACAGGAAAGAATTCAGCTCACCACAGTGCTGATCTTCTTTTTCCCATCCGTAGCTCTCAAGAGACATTTGTTATCTGAAGGCTCAAAACCCTCCACAGTTCCCTTCTTTGGGATGGATCTAGTTCGACCATCATCTGCATGAAAAATACATCCTGGTAAACACACACAAATTAATAATAAGTAGACAGTTGAACAGTAGAGAAGGATACCAAGAGACGACCTCATGCTACCGTCACCGTTCTACTCCTGTTAACCACAACACCCACGGTCATTTAGGGTTTGGCCCTAGTTCCACAACGAAGAAACTATTAGTTCCACAATGAAAACACTGCAACATCAAAAACATGGGATTGAGTTTCCTAACGAAAAGACGATCTCCCGCACACTGGGCTCTCTGTGACGGGTGAGACCTGGGTGCTGGGGGTCGCACCAGCCTCACAGCTCCTAACACCCCCGGGGCTCTGCTCCCCGGCGCGGCGCAGGGTAGAGGAGAAGCCGCGGCGCCCGGGCGACCGGTGACCGGCTTCCGGGTGCCTCTCGCAGAAGCCTCCGCTTACATTTCTTCAGGGTGATGAAGACGCTGCCCGACGTCCGGCACTTCTGGAACAGCCTGGTCAGCTCGGTCAGGAACTACAACACAAGAAGCCAGGCCCCGTTAGGCAGCCACCAGTCCTCGCCCCGCCGCGGCAAGTCCCTCCCGCAAAAGGCCACAGCGGCCCCGAGCTACACCCCGAACCGCATCCGTCCCTGAGGTGCAGCTGTACCTGCTCGCTCTCCAGCAGCACCATCCCGGCGACACTCAAGCCAATCCTCCAGCATAAGCCTAGAACAGTTAGAGGCGGAAGTTTTGCCTCTGGGGGGCGGGACTTCCGCCGTTTGTCTCCCAGTTGTCCATTAAGCGCTGCCTCCCAGGCCGCTTCGCGCCTGCGCTCTGCACCCCCGCTGCAGCCGGTCCTGTGCTTCCAAGGGACCTGAAACCCTGCTGGCTGGGCTGTCTTGGGGTTCTACAAATCTCACCCCAAACAGTGTGAGAGAATGAAAAAAAAAAAAGATAAACATCTATATTTTATATTCCGCTGCATTTGGAGCAAGTCATCTAACGTTTCAGTGCCTCCATTTCCTCAGCCTTAAAAGGATGACAGTATCTACTTCCCAATGCGATTGTGACGATTATGAATTTATATTAACACAGAACACTCTGGTACGCAGAAGGTGTTCGATAAGCAGCCCTTTGATGTAGGATAGAAGAAACAAAGATAGGTAGAAAGGAAACAAGAAAATTGCAATTTTAAGAAAACTGCAACTTCAGGATAAAACATTATCCAAAGTTTTGATGCCTTTTATTTCCCCCCTTCCGGGCAACTAAAAAAAGATAGAGATCAATATATATATATAGAGAGAGAGAGAGGAGGGAAGGGAAGTAGCCGGGAGAGAGAGGATCCTAAGAAACTTAATAGATTAAAAAAAGAAAGAAAGAAACTTAATAGATACAGTAACCCTGTAAATTGGGCTCATGCTTTCACCTATACATTGAGCATGGACTTTTCCAGTAGTGCAGATTCACAGTGCCACAGAGCTCCACTCTCAAGGAAACAGCACTAATGGTCTGCTAGCTCTAAATTTCAAACACATGCAAATGATTTGCGTTCTAACCACCCCACTAATGGGTAACCTATGGTTTGCATTATGAGCACCTCACTAAGGGCTAACCTCAAACACAGCAGTCTTCCTGCATCAGCCTCTGGAGTGTTGGGATTACAGGTCCATCTCACCACTCCTGGCCTATTTGAGAGTTTTTTCTTAAGTAATTGGATAGAGTAACTGGGTGGCACTAAATAGGAAAGACATGAGAAGTAACAGTTTTTATAGAAAGGTAGAGTTTTACTTTTTCACTACTGGGGATTGAAACCATGGTCTTCACACTGGCATACACGCCTACTCCTTTTTATTTTATTTTGAAGCAAGCTCTTGATTGAGGCAGGACCAATCTGCTGGGCAAGTGGGTATGACCTGTCAGTCTTGGAGATCCAGGACACGTGAGCTCAAATCTCACAACTGGGACCAATCAGAAAACTACATCTTCAGTTCTTCTGGCTCAAAGTCAAGCAGATTTCTGAAACACAGCCTAGCTAGATCTGACGTCAGAATGGGGGGATACAAACGACAGTGGCCATTAACCATTTTCTACACTATGCCCTCTTTTTCAGTGGCCTACTCTCACCCTAGAGAGTGCTGTTTTTTTCATACTTTAACATGTTCTTACCAGCTTGAACCACAGGTGCTACAAGCATAACTGCCCCATCAGGTAGGTTTTTATTAATTTTATTAGTAAAAAGACCAATAAAGTCATTAGAACCATTTGTACCACAGTGCTATAAGCTGTCTATGGAACAATCATGTATAGACTACTGTGGTTTAAGCCACCTGGCAGAAAATACAAATTACAGCCCCGCCATGTCTGTATTAATTGGTCTGCACTTACTCTGCAGAGTATGTTTCTTTCCTACCTTTAATAAATGTAAAACCAGACTAACGGCCATACCACCCTGAACGTGCCTGATCTCGTCTGATCTCGGAAGCTAAGCAGAGTCGAGCCTGGTTAGTACTTGGATGGGAGACTGCCAGGGAATACCGGGTGCTGTAGGCTTAAAAAAATAAATAAATAAATGTAAACCCTCACTACCCTTTGCAAATGTCATGACCAATTCTTTGCCCAGGATAAGATCCTGGATAGAATCCCTAGAAGGCACCCACAGCACCCTGGAACCCCAGTAATCCTGGGATTACAAGTATGCACCACTACTATGGCCAGTGGAAGATAAATATCAATTTGGTCATTTGATACCTGAGATGCCTACTATATGTCTAAGTGGAGCTATTAAGCAGCTCAATATACAAGTTTGGAGTTCAATAAAGAAGTAAATGCTATAAGTAAAAATTGTCAACCAGGCACGGTAACACAGGCCTGTAATTCCAGCTACTCAGGAAAGTGACCAGGAGGATCACAAGTTCAAGCCCAGTCTGGACAACTCAGTGAGATCCTGTCTCAAATAAATACAAGTATGGGGCTGGGGTTTTAGCTCAGCGGCATAAGCACCTGCCTTGCAAGTAGGCAGTCATGAGTTCGATCCCTGGTACCGATAAAAAGGAAAAAGACAATAAATAAATAAATAAATAAATACAAGTACATAAAAAGGTCTGGGAATGTAGCTCAGTGTGAAGGAAGGAAATTCAAGTCCTACTACCAAAGGAAAACAACACAGAAAAAACCGATCAACAGTCACGCTGACCACCTAGGAAAGTCTTGCAGCCATCACACCACAGAACCAACCACTTTAATAACACAAATGCTCACGTCTGAGTCTTAGCAGCACCCCTGGGCCAATACCATTCAGCTACTGACAGAGCGTTCTTTGATTTTTGCTTTTCTCTGGAAATGACTAAGAGAAACCGTCTGGAAGTCAGAAGGGTCTGGGTTTAGATCCCACTTCCACTACCTTTTAGTTATAGCTGTCAGAGAAAAGCGATGGTAATTGCTTATTCACTAATGTCATAGAGATTTTATAAAATGCCATATAAAAGACCCTCAGGCTTGCTCTTATTAGGTAAATATGCATATGTAAACAAATGAATTAAAATTAACTTTAAAATAATTTAATTCCTCAGTCATTTTAGCAACATTTCAAATATTCAGTAGTCACATGTGGCTTGGACAATGCAGGCAAACTGTTAGCAGCAACAGCAAAGAGCTTGGTGTGTAATAAATGTTTAATAAACAGTGTAAGTGTTACTATTTATGGACCACACACCTTCGGTCACTGGGACATTGCCATGCTGATTTCTGCCAACATCCTATGCCATCTGGACTGTTACTTAATATTTTTCTTTAAGTTGAATCATTTATAACATAAATAAGCAAGTCTAGTATTATATCATAAACATAAAATCAGTATCATTTTCCATAAACAAAAGAAACTGAAATAAAATGTTGCTTACTTTAAAATGCTTAGATTTAAATCTTTAAAACTATGAATAAAAATCTAATGCTAGGCTGGGGATTTAGCTCCGTGGTATAAGCGCCTGCCTGGCAAGTGCAAGGTCACAAGTTTGATCCTCGGTACCAAAAAAAAAAAAAAAAAAAAAAATTAAGTAAAAATCTAATGCTGGGGAAAAAAAGAAAACAAATTAAATGTAGATGGAGGGGAAGGGGAAAAAAGAATTGAGATGTGATATGTACGTGTACCAATTACCCACAATGCTTGTAATCATTATGTACTTCAAACTTACACTAATAAAAAAACGTTTAATAAAAAAACTATGAATAACATAGAGCTGGTTGACTTGTAAGATTGTATCTGAGAATAAATTCCTCAGTTAGAAAACTGGTATTGTTTATGCTCAGTCAGGGAGAAAGGTAGCTCAGGGTACAACGAAATTGAGAGTTTACATCAGAAGTCATGGTTAAATTCTGATGTTGCTTAACAATCAGAATCCTAACTTACAATTATATGTGGTTACGATCATCTATCATTAATCAACGTGTAATTTAGGTGTATAATAGAGGTTAGTGGCTTTTGGCCCTGGGAGCGCAGACACATGTGCTTGTGTATATGGGTCCCCAAGTCACATGCTGCCTGGCGCTGGCACTGGCGCTGGTGCTGGCCCTGGCCCTGGCCCTGGGAGAACTGTGGAGGGAAATGGCTCCCCAGTCCCCTCCCATACCACAAGGCCTTCAGCAAGTGCTAGGCAGCACTTAGGGTAAATGGAGCCCTTGGCACACAGCACTGGCATCACTTAGAGCAGCCTTGGCCACGGCCCGGGTGCAGGGCTACCCCAGGAAGGCCAGTGAGCACAACTATATCCTGTGCCCCTCAGTGGCCACAGGCACTCTGAGGGCCTGAGTGAACACTCTTGCTTGTCCCTCCAGGATCAGCTTGCCCTTGCATCCATTCCTCAGACAGAGCAACATTTAATTTATCAGGCTTGATTAGAGTAGGCTTGAATTAGGGCCCAAGGTCTTATGAGGGCAAGGGCTGATGAATTTACAGCTGTGATTACTCTGGCACCATGATGCTTTGCAGCCCCTGGAAGGTGCGATGGCTGAACACACAGTCACTGGCTCCTCCCTGCCGGAGCTGCAGTCCCAGCCCCCGTCTCCTTGTCTGACCAAAGATTAAGTCACAGGCTCCCTGTTAAAAGATCATTTTAAAAGTGAAGTCACCCTCTCATTATCCATATCAACGGTCTGTTTATCTTTTTAGTAATAAGGAAACCAGGTTGATGTTAGAACTCATTCAGAGGAGAAGCCACCAAACAGACACAATTACGGGTCAGCAATTCTGAAATGAATTTGTAAATGGGAGCAGCCTGGAGTTGTCCCTCCACTGAGCAGTCATTTGTCCACGGACAAGAAAAACGGGCATTGCCTTCCGTTCTCTACAACCTGGCAAGGCAGTGGAAGACTAGAATCAGCTCACCCAAAAGGACGTGGGCCAAAGCAGAGGCAGTCTTCCATTAGAAGCATCCTCGAATCCTTGATTTCTTTCTCTTTCTTTCTTTCTATTTAGATGCTTGTAGTCTTTCTTTTCCTTCCACTATTCTTTTTTGCTTATTCCACACTTCCTTAAATCCTTCTCAAGGTCCACGTGTTTTTTTGTTTTGTTTTTGTCTTTTTCATTTTTATCGGTACCGGGGATCGAACTCAGGACCACCTGCTTGCAAGGCAGGTGCTTATGCCGCTGAGCTAAATCCCCAGCCCCAACGTCCACGTTTTTAAGTGGGAATGTCATTAAAGTGCCCACTGTACTGTCATAGGGAGGAGTGAAGAACCAAATCGACTTGGATTATAAGCCAGTCCCCCAGGTTGGGGCTGGCTGATCCCTTTTCTCCCTGCCACGTGGATTCTTCCTGCAGAAGCAGAGCACAGGAGTGCA